CCCTCCCTTTTCCCCCTTGCTTCACCTCCTTTCCCCTCCTTGCTTCCCCTCCTTTCCCCTCCTTGCTTCACCTCCTTTCCCCTCCTTGCTTCCCCTCCTTTCCCCTCCTTTCCCCTCCTTGCTTCCCCTCCTTTCCCCTCCTTTCCCCTCCTTGCTTCCCCTCCTTTCCCCTCCTTGCTTCCCCTCCTTTCCTCTCCTTGCTTCCCCTCCTTTTCCTCCTTGCTTCTCTGCCTTACCCCATCTCCACCTCACACCATCTCTGCCTCACCCCATCTCTGCTCTGCCTCTCTTCCCCTTCTCCCCCCATCCATCCTCTACACATCCCTGCTCTCCCAATCCCTCCTGCAGGTTTGGGGCGCTGTAAACGGACGACAACGGGCAGATTTGCTATGTAGAAGTGAATGTGGTGCTACTGGAATAGGCCTCCAATGACTGGTCCGCCTGGCAGCCCCAAAAGATGGTGGTGTCCTGGAAAGGCGGCCTGCTGTGTGCACCCTTTCCTCGCTCGGCTATCCTCCCCATCGCCTGCCAGCACCGTCACATTTCCCGCATCGCCTATAAGTAGAAGTTGGCTGCACACTTGACCAATCGTACATTGCTACCGTCATCACCCGGATATAAGACAGTGTTGAATAGTAGACAGGGGTTGTCTATTATACGGGTGTCTCTTATAAACGGGGTAGCCTCATTATAAGACACCTATTTGTGTGTAGGGGCAAATGGCAAATGTATAACGAGGAAGTATCTTCTAAACGGATTTTTGTCCATTTATAAGACTGATTTTTTTAATGTATGAGATAAGACATACATGTCTTATATCCGGGCGATGATGGTAAATTAGTGTGCATGGATTGCCTCTGCTTTGACTTGAAACCAAACTGCTCTGATTACATACTGTGTTACAATAGAGTACATGCTACACTGGTGATGTTAGCAACCTCCAACGATGCCACAAAACACCACGGTCAATAACTAATTGATAAAAAACACTGAAACATGTGTTTGATGGCACGATGTGTTGGGTCAGTAAGAAACGCCTAAAAGGGGAAGGGAGGGGATGTATGTATGTGCTACGTTCAAGGCGGCAAATTAGATGCTTGGACTATACAACCACGGGCCAAGTGACCAAGAGGCTTGAAGCTGCTTTGCTCGTGGCCGTTGCCACATTCCCTTGCCATTCCCATTGCCATCGCTGCCTTTCCATGCCCAGGTTGCTGGCTCTTATGTGCCCCGTGAGGCGCAAATAGTAGGATGTGCTGTCGGGAAGGTTCCCCACCTGCAACGCAAACACAGAAACCGAGCAAGGGAATGCTTGGGGACCAAACATGGGATAATAGGAGTGTGGGTTTCCTGGAGGGGCAGGGTGTGAGCAGAACGCCCTTGGTAGGGGAGGGGGAAAGCAGGGGAAATGGAGAGGAGATGAGAAGAGTGCCCCTGGTAGGGGGAGGGGAGGTGAGCAAGGAGTGCCGGATATGGGCGGGAGAGGTGGTAGGGGGAGGGGAGATGAGAAGGGAGTAGGTAGTTGGGGAAGGGGAGGTCAGATGGGAGTATGTTGTATGTGGTAGGGGGAGGGGAGCAATGATGAGAGTAGGTGGTATGGGGAGGCGTGGTGGGCTGAAATCCCGTGGTAGTGGGGGGGAGGGGAGGTGAGATGGGAGCAGGTGGTAGGGGGAGGGGAGTTGAGATGGGAGTAGGTGGGGGTAGGTGGGAGATGCATGTGGAAATTTCCCATGGCAATGCCGCTGTTGCCTGGTAGGTGATGATAAGAGAATCGAGGGGGGCTTGGTTACAGGAAGCAAGAAGGGAGGGATGGCAGTGAGGATTGCATGAGTGAGAATGGCACGAGGAGTGCGTAAGGTGCGGAGATAACTACTACAATGGGAGCTAGACTACGAGCTAGGCACGGATGCTCGTGTGATCTCTGCGTTCTCTGTTCCTAAGTCATTTTCCTAGTGCACACACTGCTTGCTAGGTCACGGGGCAATTTGGCAAGACTTTCACTAGAGAAAGTTGACAACAATGGTACAATGAAGTTGGTTGGACAATACTACATCAGAGCTAGCATTCAGGTCGGTCGACTGCCAGCGCAGCATGGTCCACCACGTTCCAGCACGACTTGGTCGACTTCGCTCCAGCGGTGCAAAGTCGACGGTGTGCCAACGCTGCAGGTTGTCGGCGTGACAGCGTTGCTCCCGCAGAACAGCAGCGCACCTACTTCGTACGTGCTCGCAGATGATTGGCAGGCTAAGCATCGTCACATGCACAACGCACACATCGTGTCATCCTCGTGCTGACGATTCCACCTGATCCGCCACGTTGACCTTGGGATACCACCCCCGAGGTTAGCCTCGCCAACATCGCCTGGGAGACCGTCGCACTCTTCCGCAGAGCCTCGTCACCTAGGTAACCTGGTCGACCGGGCAACCATGTCAACCAGCTGCTCCTGTATGTGCCCGTCGACCTCCCAAGTCGACGACCACTCCAGGTCGGTCTCACCAGGTCGACCACACCCTTGGTCGACCAGCTCCAAGACGACGTCACTCTTGGTCGACCAGCTCCATGTCGACCAGCGCAGTTGCCAGCCGACCACCCAAGACGGCTACCCAAAGTCGGTGTCACCAAGTCGGCGTCGACTTCCAGGCCGACCTCTCAAAGTCGGCGACCTCCCAAGTTGGCGACTTCGCAAGTTGGCGACCTTGCAAGTCGGCGCCGACTTCCAGGTCGACGCGCCACATCACCGACCACCAGTTAAAGTTGGCCGCCGGCTTCCCAAGTCGGCGGCATTGCAGTGGCCCCGTGCAAGTCGACCAACCCCGTCAACCAGCTCGCCCACTGCTGCAAGTCGGCGGTACCTCCCGTACACCCAACCACGAAGTCGGCTCCGCCCAAGCGAGGACGGGGCCAACAACAACTCCCGTTGACATAAGGAAGCAAGGATAGGGAGACAGGAAGGGGAGATGGGGAGGGACAGAGAAGGATGGGGTGATTTGGAGGAAAGAGGGGGAGAGGAGGCGAGAAGGAGAGGGAAGAAGGGGGGAAAGAAGGGGAAAAATGATGAAGGGAGGTGTAATGGGAGGGAAATGGTCTGGCAAGTGGGAGTTGGGCTATCGTGAGGGAGATGGGCTAGCTGGAGGGTGGCGGCATGGCGAAATTGGGAGGCAAGAAAGGGGAATGGAAGGAGGGGTGGAATAGAGGGGAGAAGAGGTCAAAAGGGGACGGAGGGGTGGATAATGACGATATATAGGGGGGATAATGAGGGCATGCGGGAATTGGGGGTGTGTAGGGCTGTGGGGATAATGCCTTAATGGCATAGGGGCAGGAGCAGGTGTAGGGGCAGGGGCAGGGGCAGGAGCGGCAGCAGGGGATGAGCTGAGTCCCCCCAGCAAAGCGGTGGATGCTCTCATTAGGAGCTTCGTGGAGTCTTTCCTCTTTGATGTACGTCTGCCTTGCTGCCCTGCCGTGCTGTGCAATGCGCCTGGGTTTTGCGTACCCCATTGCATGGCATGGCATGGCATGGCATGAGATGGCATGGCATGGCATAGAATGGCAATGCAATCATGATGCCACATAAGCCATGTGTACCGTGTTGTTTTGCAACACACCATGTGCCTTATAATGCCCTGAAACACTATGAATGTTGTGGATTGCTGTGAGGGGTCATTCCACTCTCCCTCACCATTTCCCACTTTTGTTTCCTACCCACCCTCCCACCCACCCAACCACCCAACCATACATCCTTCTCAACAGGACATGGACATCTTCTTTAGAGCACCACTCAGCTTTGTCACCTCCCCTATTGCCACCTCCCCTACTGTCACCTCCGCTCCTGTCTCCTCCGCACCTGATATCCTCACCATCGACCAGCCCTCCTCCCCTTCCTCCTCTCTCTCCTCCCCCACGCTCCCCTCCCCCCCCTCTGCTGCAACCAGCCCTGGATCGACCAATTGGGGTGAATTGGGGGGAAACCGGCAATGGGAAGGGCATCAGGCGGCGGGAAAGGGGAATCGGGCGTCGGCGAAGGGGAATCGGACGGGGGGGGAAAGGGGAATCGCTAAGTCGCCGCCTCAATGCATTCTCACTTTGGATGCAAAATGCTCAGTGTATTAGGCGCCGTAAAATAAACAATGTTTCTGTACACGTATTGTTATAGTCACAGTAGGCTCCAATGTGCCTAAAACGAAAGATAGAGCGCACAGTTGGATTTCTGCACAGCGGCTTCAAACGTTCATAGCGTTCTGGTCACAGCTTCAAATGACCTTTTTTAACTTGGATCTGGAGCGTCTTACTGTCGCCTACAATAGGCAATTTAGATCGCACGATTTCACCAAGTATTGACGACACAGCAACGGTTTGAACGAACAGCACTATTGCAGCCATTATAGTCTTAAAACACAAGATAGGAAGAGTTAGGAAGAGTTACGAGTTGGGAATGACTCCCAGCTCCTACAAACCCAAGACCCAAGGTACACTGATGTGGAACAGTGCCACACTGTCCCCAACCAAGAAGGGTCTCGAAACTACCCTCCACAAGGGTCTACACCCACATAAATGTTACACTACACAAGGTAATGTAACTATCTTCAACATCTTGAAGTGTACCCTCTTTGGCGAGCTTCGAAATCACTTGAGGCTTAACACCAAGGCTCTGGTTCTTCACCACAAACTCATCCTTGAGTTCTTCATGGGTCTGCTGCACACACCTGCGACACGCCGAACGTTCGACACAGGACAAAATAGGAACTGCGCGAGACACACAAGCGACAAAATAGAAACCGCACGGGACACAAATAGCGATAACTCACTATTGACTTGACACACACATTCGACATCATGACTCAACATTCGCACACTATTATAAGCATGAAATATATATGATCTCATGCCCTCATACCATTCCATGCACACACGCATGCACGCACACAGACAACAAGCCGAGTGCAAACCGTAGGGTTGCACCAACAAACTCCCCCTCGGGTTGTTGACCGTAGGATCTGTTGCTCTCAGTTTAGAGCCATCCCAGTCAGCTTGCAACACTTCCAATGGTGCTGCTCCACCAGCCTCTTGGTCATCATATCAGCTCGCTGCCCCGTCGCCTTCACATAGTGCAACTCAACCTCACCCGCAGCCACCATGCTCCTCGTCCAATGCCACTTCACCCTCATGTGCTTGGTGAGGCCGTGCAACACAGGATTCTTAGCCGGAGCAATGGCACCCTGGCTGTCACAGTAGAGTGGGGTAGGTCCTTGCTGCTCCTCCCCCAATTCAGCCAACAAACACCGCTGCCACACAATCTCCCGTACGGCACGGAAGAGTGCTATGTACTCAGACTCCACCGAGCTTAATGCTTGGTCCACCTGCTTCTTGCTTTCCCAAGCAGTTGGGCCTCCACTAACACAGCAAATGAACCCTCCAACACTTGTCATGTTCTCTGGTTCCAATGCATATGAAGCATCCGAGTAGGCGGTGAGGAACAAACGCCCGGGTTCAACACCATCCGCGCCCTTTTGGCGCCTTTGCACCGCCGTCGAGTATTGCAGCCCAACGGTTGGTGTTTGGCCAAGATACTTGGCCACCCTCATTCCAGCTACTACCTGCTCCTCATTAGGGCATTGCACAACCCTAGCAAGCTGCCCGGTAGCAAAGACAACGTCCGGCCGAGTGTTCACCGCCACATACATGAGGCTGCCCACCAACGAGTGAAAACGGCGCCTCTCCTCTTCACCAACGCTCTCCTCCTCTGGTCCCTTCACACACTTGAACCCAAAAGGAAAGGGAGTAGCCACATGACCTTCACTCTGGCCAAAGTTGGCAGCCAACGCCTCCAGGTACTTCAGTTGGTGCACTCGCATGCTCCGCTTCTCCACGTCTCGTTCGATGTGGAGCCCAAGGTAGAAGTTCACGTCACCAAGGGACTTGCACTTGAACTTGTCTTGCAGCGTCAGCATCACCTCCTTCACAAGGTCAGAGGAGGGTGAGAAGATGAGAATGTCATCCACATAAACTACCATGAAGCTCCTCTGCTCCCCCTCGCCAAGCATGAACAAGGAGTGATCGGCCGTTGAGGGAGTGAAGCCGATCTCCTCCAACACTTCGTGCAGCTTCATGTACCATTGCCTAGGGGCCTGCTTCAGCCCATAGAGGGCCTTCTTCAGCTTCCACACTCTGCCACTACCATCGTCAAACCCCTAAGGCTGCGCCATAAAAATCTCCTCCTCAAGGATGCCGTTAAGGAATGCCGTTACGATGTCCATTTGTTTTACTACCCATCCTTTGATGGCGGCTCGCGCGAATAGGGTTCGTAGCGTCGCTGGCTTCACTACAGGGGCAAACAGCTCCTTGAAGTCCACCTTCTCCTTCTGCTGGTACCCCTTGGCTACAAGCCTAGACTTGTAGCGCTCGATCTTGCCGTTGGCATCCGACTTGATTTTGAAGAGCCACTTGGACGTTATCGCCGTACGCCCCTCCGGTAGCTCCACCAATTCAAATGTGTCATTCTCCTTAATGCTTTTGAGCTCACTCTCCATTGCCTTCTTCCACTGCTTAGCATCACTACTCTCCAAGGCCTCCTTGAGAGTTGCTGGTTCTCCGGGCATCTCCACCGGAGAGAAGAACACGAACGCACTTTCCTCGTAGTCACTCTCCTCGTCGTCTCCGACCATCATTGCCGCTCCGGCCAGGGCTGACTTCCCCTGCTTTCCCGGTGCATCATAGGTCAACCTATTAGGGGGTTGAACTCTCCTCTTCCCCCTTCCTTCCTCCTCAGCTGCAGGGACTTGAAGGCCTTGGCGTTGCTGCGGTGTGGCTCGGTTCCGTGGAGCGCTCATAGTGCGGGAAGGAAGTGTCGGTGCACGCTCGCTCACTTCGTGCACCTCCTCCTCTTCTTCCTCTGCATCCTTGGCTTCCTCTCCCCCATTCACAAGGGAGGATTGCCTTGTGGTGGTGCCGCCGCCGCTGAGCTCCAAAGGCAGCTCCACATGCTCCAAACCGGAACTCTTCACCTCCCCAAACCGCACGCCTAACTTCACCTTCGTCTCCGCCTTCCAATCCTTGTACATGAAGTTCTCCATGAACTTGCAGTCCCTGCTCACCATGAACTTCTTGGTGAATGGGTCCCAAAGAAGCTACCCCTTCCTGTTTTGGGCCATGCCCAAATGCACAGCCCATATCGCCTTGGCAACAAGCTTGTTGTGCCGAAGTTGCTTAGGTACGAGCGCCATGCACATGCACCCGAACACCCGAAGCATATCCACCTTTGGCTTCCTTTCAATCCACTCCACATAGGGCACCCATTTATCTGCTCCAACATGAGTCAAGGCTCTGTTCTTGGCCACGCACGCACTCCGCACCGTATCAAGCCAGAAATAATCGGGTAGCCCGGCTTCAATGAGCAACCCGCGTGCCGTCTCCGTGATCGTGCCTTTCGCTCGCTCAACAATGCCGTTCTTTGCAGGGGAGTATGGCATGGTAAAGGAGTGCCTTATCTCATTCTTCTTCAGACACAACCCGAACTCCTTGCTCAGGAACTCTCCCCCACGATCGGTGCAGATCGACTTCACAAGCCGGTCTTGTTGCCGCTCCACCATCGGCAACCAATCGGTCTTCATCGTTTCAGCTACGTCGCTCTTCTTGGACAGCACGTACACCCAGGTTATGCGGGTGTAGACATCCACAATTGTGAGGAAATACTCTGCTCCAGCAGCTCCAAGCTTCAGGGGGCCCACCACGTCCATCACCACCTCATCAAGTGGTGCCTTTGCCGTTGCCTCCGAACTAGGGAACGGAAACCGTGTGAACTTGGCTTGAATGCACGTCGGGCAGCCAAGCACCTCATCGGGCTTCCCCTTCACACTTATGCCAGCAACCATCTGGTTCTTCACTAGCTGCTGCAAACTAGGCAGGGCCACATGCCCCATTCGTCGATGCAAGGTAAGCCAATCACACTCCCCCGTAGCGGAAGTCGGATTGGAGAATGCCGCGCTCGCAATAGCGCCCCACATGCTCTCTCCGTACTCCTCTTCCGCTGCTACCTCGGGGCTCTCCTCACCCTTGTGCTGCTCCTTGGCTGCTGCAGCACAATTGTTATAATCATCGAGCTTGCTGGTCCCTCCAAGATTTGCTCTTCTTGGACTCGTTCTCCTTAGCACGACCGTTCGCGCCATCACCACTACCAACCGCTTCACCCTTGGTGCTGACGCTTGCTGCCACTTGCCTCTCCTTAGGCATGGGGACCATAGGGATCTGCCACATCTCGATGTAGACATCCCTATCCTCCTGAAGGTCCCATAGAATCCGCTCGCAAAGCCTCGCGGTATAAGTCTTGGCTCCCTTCGAGTTCGTGTCCATGCCGGCCTTTGCCAATCGCCGCACGGAAATCAGGTTGGCAGCAAGGCTGAGCACCCAAAGCACGTTCTTAAGGCCCACCATCTTCCCATCAGCACCCTTGAACATGGCCTTGCCCATGCTTTTCACCTCTGCTCGCTGCCCCAAAGCCGATGTGACATGCTTCACCGGTGACGGTTCAAGTTCGGTGAGCACGCGCGAGGTGTCATGGTATAGGTAGAGCCACTATCGATCACCCAATAGTCCAGGGGGTGTAGGGTGACATTTCCCACAGCTGCAGGCTCTTCAAAGTCTTCATCCTTCTCTGGTGCTACCGGTGCTTGCATTGACACAAAGTAGAATTGACCCGGGTACCGATCGCCGCTCGAGTCCTCGTCATTATCTCCACTATTCATGTTTGCAGCACCACCTCCGCGACCGCCACGGCCTCCACGGCCTCTTCCTCTCCCTCCTCCTACTCCTCTACCCTCTTGGCCTTGAGCAGGGGGCCATCCATCTGGGAGTTTGTAGCAATCGCGCCACATATGTCTGCTCTTGTGGGAATAGTGACACTCGCCGTCAAATCGGCTGCGACCGCGTCTGTAGCTCTTGTCGTCGCTGCCGTAACCGCCACTTCCGCGGCCTCCGCTGAAGTTGCTGCCACCAAACCTTCCTCCCCCTCGTCCTCTGCCTCTTCCTTGGCCATATCCATGGCCGACGCTCACTGTCCCAGCGCCATCCGCACTCGCCAACTCACGGCGGCGGAAGTCCTCTTGAAGGATCGCGCGCTTCACGTTTTCAAGTGAGAGACGGGGCAGATCACTGTGTAAGTTGATGATGAGCAAGGACCATGATTCCGAGATTAGGGCCAGCAACTTGGTCTTCTTCTAGAGCTCACTGTAGTTCAAATCTGCTCCTTCAAGTCGCGTCAACAAGTCGAAGAATTTCTGCACCCCTTCTTCAACCGCTTTATCCTCTTCAACTGTAGTGTCGCCATTTGCCATTCCAACACCACAGCTACCGCCGCTGTTGCAGGAGCATGTACACTCTCGAGAGTAGCCCATGCCTTTGGTCCCTTCTCTGGTTCACGCTGGAATGGCTTGATGTGACGGATTTGGCTGCTCCCCAACGCTTGCCCTAGTAGGAGATAGCCTTGTGCGCTCTTCCGCACCCACGGGCTCTTCTCCGGGTCGTTCTCGGGACGCTTCTCCATTTCTTCCATCACCTCGAGCAGGTCATAGTGGTCAAATACGTTCTCCACTTCTGAAGGACCACTCAGCAAAGTTGTCACCATTGAACTTGTCAAGCCCGAACACTCTCGGTTCGTCCCTAGAAGGTCTAAGAGTAGGTTGCATGGGCGCCACGGCTGAATCACGGGCTTGGCCTTATGCTTGGGCTTCTCCATTGCCTCCAGCACCTCTGCCACCCCTTTCTTCAGGTCCAGCCATTGTCGTAGCTGCTCCAAGGCGCTCTGATACCACTTGTTATAGTCATAGTCGGCTCCAATGTGCCTAAAACGAAAGATAGAGTGCACAGTCGGATTTCTGCACATCGGCTTCAAACGTTCTTAGCATTCTGGTCACAGCTTCAAATGACCTGACTTAACTTGGATCTAGAGCGTCTTACTGTCACCTACAATAGGCAATTTAGATCGCACGATTTTACCAAGTATTGACGACACATCGACGGTTTGAACGAACGGCACTATTGCAGCCACTATAGTCTTCGAACACAAGATAGGAAGAGTTAGGAAGAGTTACGAATTGGGAATGACTCCTAGCTCCTACAAACCCCAAGAGCCGAGGTACAGTGATGTGGAACAGTGCCACACTGTCCCCAACCAAGAAGGGTCTCGAAACTACCCTCCACAAGGGTCTACACCCACATAAATGTTACACTACACATGGTAATGTAACTATCTTCAACATCTTGAAGTGTAGCCTCTTTGGCGAGCTTCGAAATCACTTGAGGCTTAACACCAAGGCTCTGGTTCTTCACCACAAACTCATCCTTGAGTTCTTCATGGGTCTCCTACACACACCTGCGATACGCCGAACGTTGGACACAGGACAAAATAGGAACCGCGCGAGACACACAAGCGACAAAATAGAAACCGCGCGGGACACGAATTGCGATAACTCGCTATTGACTTGACACACACATTCGGCATCATGACTCAACATTCACACACTATTATAAGCATGAAATATATATGATCTCATGCCCTCATACCATTACATGCATACACGGATGCACGCGCACGGACAACAAGCCGAGTGCAAACCATAGGGTTGCACCAACACGTATAACCTATGCGTGAGAAGCGCTATAATCCCTTAGACTAGCAGTGCGTTTGGAAGTTGCCTTAGTAGTGGTGACTAAGAACGTTGTGGGAGTGGGGATAGTGGCGAGGAGGCATGTCCTTCACTATATTTTTGGCTAGCCATAAACATTTGACATGTGAGTCAGGTGAGAGGGGCTGGGTTTGAACTTGTCGCTCTGTCAGAAGTCAAGAGACTTTGTAATTTGGTTACCACCATGTACCTTTTATAAACTTTTGGCCTTTCCCCTGCCAAATGTATACCGCTGCTTTAACCTTGGCCCCGACTGCCCTCTCTGCATAGCGTATCCAACGATCCAACGCTTGAAGACCATGGCCATCTCATCCTCTGTCCGGAGTTTGCTGTGGCCATACACATCCGTGTGCACCAAGTCAAGAGGTGCGGAGGCCCGAGATCCGGAGGTAGGGAAGGAGGTCCTTGGCAACTTCCCGGTGGTGCAATCAGGGCACTTGCTTGGCAGCCCACCACCCTCCTTGATCTCCACACCCTTCACGCACTCCACAAGTTGCTGCCTCCCCGCATGTCCCATGCGTAGGTGTAGCAAATCTGCTGTCACTTGTTCCACGTCCCTCCAACAGGTGCTGCAAGCAACTTCCTTAGCTTCACCCCCATTTGCCCTCTCCACCTGAGGCACACAAACTGAAATACAATGTAGACCTTTGTCTGACTTGGCCTCCATCACCACAGCTCCACCCTTGCGAATCGTGCCCCCTCCCATGGTGAAGGTGCATGTGTATCCTTGCCTAGCAAGCTGAGAGCATGAGAGATGGCTGGCTGCCAATCCAGGAACATAAAGCACACCTTTCACATCCAACACCTCAACCTCCTTCCCCTTAATTTCGGTTGCTTGCAACGTTCTCCGCTCCCCACGATCACATTCCTTGAATTAAGTTGCCAGCTGATCTCTAGCTGCGGCTCAATGGACCCTGTCCACGTAATGAGGTCGTGGTGACCTTCGAGCAGCTGGGGCACGGCAGTCTTGTCCGCCGAGAACTTAAAGTAGCCGTACACTGGCACAATGCCTCCATCTCGGCCGCCCGACACATGGGTCGCTATAGCCGACTTGACTCCACTTTGTTGTGGAGAATGACGTCAACCTCTGACATCGCCTTGCAAGCTGCCTGTAGTCGTCGTCAACGGTAGCTCTCGTGATTGCATCTTGCAGACGCCAACATTGGCAGCCTGAATCACTCAACGTGTCACTCCCATGCCTCCATCGCAAACTAGGTCGTCGCCACCTTTGTTGTGCATGGGTCGAGGAGAAGTGGGCACATCGTCCGCTTCAGGTCGGGGAGAAGCGGGCGCATCGTCCGCTTCAGGTTGGGGAGGGTGGTCGGGGGCCCACTGCCGCACGAGTGCCTAGGAGCATCACCTCCAAGAGAGCCTCACCAAACTCACCAGCATCGTGGCATCACCGAACATCAGCCTCCCGCGCCTACAGGGCATCCTCTACACCTACAGTTTCTTCCGGGGTGACCACTATAGTCTATACGGCTGCCGGCCTACAACAACTTAGGTAATGCGCAACTAAGTCGGCTACTCTTAAGGTACCTTGCGGTGCCGTCCACGCTCACTCTAGACCTGGAGCTGGACTACAGAAGAAGGCACAGCATCTATGAGTGGTCGTAACGTTTGCTCGTGTTCTCTCTACTTGCACATTCACAGGGCTAACTGACAAGAGTTTCACAAGCAAAAGCTGGGTACAGTGATGCAAACGGCAATGGCACTAATGACTACATCGGAGGTCCAGCAACCTAGTGTCAAACATTATATATGTTGTGCTTGTTTAGGCTACAGTGGGTTAGCCTATAGGGGGTACACAATTCTAGGGTTAGGTACTTGTACTGATTCCACTGTTAGTTCAATCATTCCTGTTCGTTCATTTCAACATGGTTTCAGAGCAGGTCCCTTCCTAGGATCGTTTTTTTTTAGGGCCCACCACTACTTACCTACCTACCTGCGCCCTAGGGCGCCTCGTTTTTCACGGCCCCCTAAGGCCCCGCGACCCGCGACCCGTCCCTTAGTGACCTGCGAGCCGCCCCTTAAGGCCCCGTCGGCCCACGCGCTCGCCCCTTACGGCCCCACGCTCGCCCACTAGCCACCCCGTCGGCCCCGCGATCGCCCCTAACGACCCCGTCGGCCCCGCGCTCACCTCCCTAGAGGCCCCCGTCGGCCCTGCACTCGCCCCTTGAGGCCCCTTACGGCCCCGCGCTCGCCCCTAGAGGCCCCGAACGGCCCGCGCTTGCCCCTAGAGGCCCTCTACGGCCCCGCGCTCGCCCCTAGAGGCCCCGAACGGCCCCGCGCTCGCCCCTAGAGGCCCCGAACGGCCCGTGACCGCCACAGCCCCTCCAGGACCGAGCCGAGCAGCGCGACCCAAACCGAGCCGCCCAGTCCGAGCCGAGCCGCGCGACCCGAGCCGAGCCGCGCGACCCGAACCAAACCGCGCCGCCCCACCCGAGCCGCGCCGCCCTACCTGAACCGAGCCGCCCTACCTACCTCATCCTCCTACTCCTACTGCTGCTCCTACTGCTCCTATGGCTAGCCCACAGGTGCTAGTTTTCGATGCTAAGGGCCGCCCAATGAAGTTTGACACCTGGCTAGATGACCTGCACCTCTATCTACAGCTCACTGCCAAGGACAACATCTCACTGAACGATCACGCCTAGGCCATGTCACTGCCCCTGCTGCTACTCCTGACAGCACTGCCCGCTCACAGTGGCAGACTCGTGATGCCCACGCTCGCTTCGCTATTCGCAACTCCCTGCCGATAGACGAGCGCGAGCACTTTGGCCAGCACAAGACTGCACAGGCACTGTACACAGCTGTCGTTGCTCGCTACTCCTCACCTGCCTCTGCCGCGCTAGGCCGTCTCTCCCTCCCCTACCTGTTTCCCGACCTGGCCTCGTTCCACATTGTCGCTGACCTCATCACGCATCTCCGTACTAGTGAGGCCCGCTTCCGTGCCGCCATGCCGATGAGTTCCTTGCCACGCACCCCCCCCCACTCTGGCTCACTCTCTACCACCTAGTCACCCACCTCCCTGATACTCTACGTGCTGTCAGGGATCACTTCCTAGCTCGCTGCCCCACTGAGCTCACCATTGCCCTCCTCAAGAAGGAGCTGCTTGCAGCTGAGGCTGGCACAGTAGCTGTAGGTGCCTCTCGTGGCGACCCCCGTACCTCGTTCTTTGAGGGGTTTTCTCC